GAATTCTTCGGATGCCTATGCCTGAAGGCGCTTTCCTTGTTGGATACACAGACGATGTGGCAGCTATAATCATCGCAAGGAACGTAGAAGCGCTTCAGATGAAACTGAATCAAGTGATGAGACGTGTGAATTCTTGGATGAAAGCTCACGGCCTTGAAATAGCGGTAGCAAAAACGGAAATCGTTCTGTTGACCAAGAAACGAATTGATAACCTGATCTTGATGAAAGTAAACAACACCCCAGTTGAAACAAAAAATGCAGCGAAATACCTAGGAATGACACTTGATACTAAGCTTAACTACGGAAAGCATCTAAGAACGGTGGCCATTAAAGCAGGAGAAGTAACTACGTCTCTCAGTAAGATAATGGCGAATGTTAGGGGTCCAAGACCTAGTAAGCGGAGGTTACTAATGAGAATCGCCGAGACAATTATGCTATACGGGGCTGAGGTTTATCCTGAAGTACTACGACTGGAAACATATCGTAAATGCTTAGACAGAGTGCAACACGCTGGAGCTCTTAGAATCGCTTGTTCATACCGAACAGTATCGGGACCAGCAGTTTTGGTTGTAGCAGGAATCATCCCAATAGATCTGCTGGCAATGGAACGTCAATATATCTACAAATAAAGAGAAACGAGTAAGAGGGAAGCAAAATTGACTGCCAGAAGAAACTCTCTAGAAATATGGCAAAGTAGATGGACAAATGAAACCAGAGGAAGATGGACAGCTAGACTCATCCCTCAGCTAAAACCATGGGTGAATAGAAAAGAAGGGGAAGTAAATTATTACCTCACCCAATTTCTCACGGGGCATGGACTCTTTCATTCATATCTCTTTAAAATGGGGAAAGTCACAAGCGCTAGCTGCCTATATGGGGAGTCTTTAAAAGATGACGCAGAACATAATTTTTTCGGCTGTAAAAGATGGAATGTGGAAAGAGACAACCTCCAGCAGAGTATTGGTAATTTTACGCCAGACAATATAATGCAGAAGATGATTGAAGACACACAGCAATGGACAAAGGTGTCATCTTTTGTTGAGAAAGTTCTAAAACTGAAAAAAGAGGACATAGATCAATTGTAGGAAGCAGAATTAAGTGAGCCCAACTCCGGCCTTAAAAGTCGCCAACTATCTTGACTTCCATCGATGTAATGCGTAAGCGGTTTCCGGGGAATCAAGTCTGGCGAAGACAAAGGAACGTTTTTTTATTATGGCAAATTGTGCAGTTTACTTTAAATATTTTTTACTTTGAATGTATTTTTGTACATTACCCTGTATCTTTTTTATCGTTGCCTACAATAAAACATATAATATTATTATTAATAATAATAATATTAATAATAATAATATTAATACTTCTTAAATATTATTTTTGTATTTTTTACAGATATTTCCGTCCAACATTTCCTGAAAATTTAATTTAAATTTTCAGGAAATGTTCGTCACAAAAATTGAGTGAATATTTAAATTACATTTTCACTCAACTTTCGCTATAAATTTTTAATGAATATTTAATTTAAATGTTCAGTCAATTTTCGCGACGAACATTTCCTGAAAATTTCATTTAAATTTTTACTTAATTTTTGCGACGAACATTTCCTGAAAATTTCATTTAAATTTTTAGTCAACTTTTACGCCAAATATTTATTTTGGTGGGACATTTAAATCTTTATGCAATTTTTATTAAACTTTGCAATTAAATATTCCCAAGATTTCAAGGAAATCTTTACGAAATTTTTAGTAAAGATTGGCTGCTGTGAGGGTGTACAGTTTCATCATCTACTTCCGAGTGAACTGGGCTAAAAGCGGACTTCCCGCTACTGACAATTTAAGACACTCAGAAGGCTCGATGTACTTCCATGTCTGCTACTTTCCTTTACCACGGTGGTCTGTGGTACTCTTAAATCTCCCTCGTTTCCTTCAACAATTATGGATAGAACATTCAAAGCAATAATGTCCTCCTGCAACGCCATGCGCTTGACGGTCGGAACCGATAAGGGATTTAGCCGAAGTATTACCCTGCAGGTAGTCCTCGGAATTTTTTCTATCGCTCATCATGTTGTAGTCCTGTAGTTTTTTTGAAACTTTTTAGAAAAAAATTTTAAAAACAAGATTTTAACCTTTAAATCATCAAAAATATAGTAAATTTAATTATATATTTTTTTGCATTAAATTTTTGAAAAGTTCAGTTAAAAAAACATTTTAAAAAACAGAACTTTTAAAATTGATGTATTTTTAAGGGGTTAAACCCTCTAGAATTTTCAAAAAACAATATCAATTATAAGTAGAAACACTTTTTAAGTGCTTGAATTTGATCCGGATCGTGGTTATCTACTGCATGCTCGGCAGAGGTATTTTCCTATATAATCTAAATGTAAACCAATACATTTAATATTTCATATCCGGAACTAATAGTATGACAATGATAATACGAAAATTTGACAATACTGTTGGTGCCCGAAAGCTATGAAATTTTTAATTTTGAGCAATGTAAAAATTATTGATTCAAAATAAAATATTTCAAAGAAATAATATTAGTTTTTCAGTATATTTATGTTTGAAATTTTTTATTGAATTCAAATTTTTAAAAAATTCAAATATATAGAAGGTTTTGTTAAAAAATACTGTTGATACGAAATACTTTCGGCGGCGCATCACTAGATTTCGGAACCTGACGAAGGCGGGTCCGAAAGCTAATATATGATAAAAGCTGTAACTTGTGTTATATGTGTTCAAGCCAGAGCACATCAAACATGTTTATGAAAAAAGTATTTTAAATAATTTTTGTGCAGTGAATAAAGTGTATATTTTATAGTGATAGGAAAAAGTGAATATAATATTTACATAGCAGTTTTTGTTCTATTTTTACATTCCAAAGGAATTTAAAACATCTTAATACGGATAAAAAATTTTCTATCCTCAAAATAAGAAACTTTTAAAAAATGACGTCGTTATTTATTTTTTTTAACAATTCACAATTAATAGCTGTGTGCGTGTGTCTCAACCTGTATGTCAAATTATTTTTTGGACACAAATACCATATTCGGAAAATCAGACATAAATTTTTTATTTTAAAAAAAATTATTACTTTTTTAGGGAATGTTGTAGCGCTGGACAATACTTTTTGAACGGCATATAAAACTTTTTGTTAAATGTTTTATGTTTAAAAATTTTCACAAAAAACAAAACCCGTCTCAACGTGCACATATCTCCTCTAAATATCAGGAAGTTATCAACGCTAACTTGCATTCGGGAGGAAATTTAAAAGTTCCCTAAACTTAACAGAAAGTTAACCACGTTAACTTCCGAACTTAACATGGTTAATTTCCGGCAAAAAACGGTGCTATCTGGAAGGTTTTCTTATGGAATCACATGTGGTTTTTTCCAGTAGAGTAGCACATCGACTCGTGTGTGTTACTGGTTATTGCTTTTCTTAACAAAAATTTTTTAAACAATTTTTTTTGTAGATTGTTTATAAACAAAACTGATTTTTTTCAAAATGTTCCCAAATTTTCAAAAAAATTTTCTTTAATTTTCTCTTTGTCATGCAAAGCGTATTTGTGTATTTTGACGATAAATATTTGATTTTTTGATTTTGGTTGAGATTTGAGCCCTGTAGGTTGCACGGCGCAAAACCAAAAATCTAAATCAATTCAATAAACTTTACTACTTTTTTGTAAAAAAAATCTTTAAAAAATGTGCATTTATATGAGTTTCTCCTTTAACATAATTCACGAGCTAAAGTTGTAATCTTTTTTTGGTAAGAAAACGATATGTATTCTCACATGATCGATTTATTTTCAGCCTTTAATAAGATGGTTAAATAAACTTATCACATCCTATCTAACTAGTTTATGAAAGTTCCGCGAACTATTTTTTCCGTTATAGGAACCTCTAGGGATCCTTTAAGGATCCTGTACAAGAATTTTTAGCTGGGTATGGTTTCTTTCACCAAATCCTGTCCGAAATTCTGATGTGCTTTTATATGAAAACATATATAGATTCCCATACGGTTCTTCTAGTAGGGTATACTTGAAGTACTAACTGTATAAAGTAAAGTTACCGACTATATGAGTCGGTTAGTCATGTAGTAAAACAAGTTATACATTTCACATTTCACTTTTTTAATTGTATTTCATTTGGTTAATCGGCATTTTTAGACTTTAGGACAATCAGACATTTAATTTATATGAATTGTGAACTCTGATAAGAAAGTCTCAATTCGATCTCTACCAGAGAAAGGAATTCCACACGAACAGAAATAATTCTGGAAACATCCCTCTGCAGTTCAGTTACGAAACCGAATTCATCCAGCGTTTTTCCCCAATGCATAACGAATATGCTGAATTATTCTTCTTTACTGAGTGACTCAAATAGTATTAATTTGATAAATGTGAATATTTATTTGATAATAAACAAGTAACTAATTATTTGAATCAAATAAAATTTTTTCAATTTATAATAAAAAAGGATATGTGTAAATTGAAATACGTGGGTCTTCTATTTGAACGTCTTAACTTTAAAAGTTTTCAGAATTAGTAATTGATACTTGCTAAACACTTGAAAGATTGTTGTTTATATCAGACTCTTTATAAAAAAAACATTAATACCAAAAATACTATTGTACAAATATTAAGTTTCAAAACTAAAAGTTATTAAAGGAAAAATTGTATTTATTTGTAATTATTATTGATTTTTCTTAGTATCTCGTGAGTTGAAATTGCAATTATTATTTTATTATTAATATAGAAGAATTGTATTTTTATGTATTTTATAAAAGAACTAGTTACGAACATATAAATAAACTCATTAGAAAAAAACATTTTTCAATGTCTCTAAAATCCTGCGCTTCTGACAAATTATGAATAAAGAAATTGATTGTGTTTTTCTGAGAATTCTTTTCTATAAAAATTTCTTAATAATAATTCTTACTTAGATCTTATTTTACACTATAATTTATTTTAAATAATATTATATAACGAAACACATTTTAAACACAATCTTTAATTTTCATTTTAATAATTCTAAAGAAAACAATACTTAGAAAATTAAAAAACAAAATAATATATTTAAAGCATTAAAAGCTAGTATGACCTTCAAGTGAAAAATTATAATCAAGTTTTAAACGGCAGTTTTTAAGAAATATTTTTGTTACAAAGGTGCACAGTTTATCAAGTAACGTCAATATCTTCATTTTCTTCTGTATCAGTCTGATCTTCTGTTAGTTGTGGACTTGCCCTTGGACTAGTATAATCAATTATGTCCATTTTTTGTCTATCTCCATCTGCATCGCTTAAATTTGGATTAGGATTATTCTTGCTTGGCAAGGTTTGTTCTCGTGATCCACCATTTGCTAATAACTCTCGCTCTTTACTGTTCCTCCATTTCATTCGACGATTTTGAAACCATATTTTCACCTATAATTAAGATATATATTAAAAATATTGAGTAATAAAATTATTATAATTAAAATTTAAAACTGCAAACGGCAAAAGTTTGTAAAGTCATATTTTAATAATATTAAAAAATGATTTTGTAAAAGAAGATTTGACTATAAGAATAACTATAGTCATTCCGCAGTAAAAATTAGTATTTATCAAAAACCTTTCACATTCTTTATTTCATATAAATTAGGAAGAATATTCTATAAAATGTTAGTTTAAGGGAACGTGTGATACTTTCACGTGACCAAGTATGGGAAAATGTATTTTGCGTTGAATTAATAAAAAATTAATTTTGAAAGTAACAGTTTTAAACGAAAATGACAATAAACATGGCGGCATATACACAGACGTTGCGTGAGTGTGTCAGTGCTCCAGGAGGCACCGCCAACTAGAGCTAGTGACCGCTGAATTAACTATAATAAAATTCTTATTTATATTTATATTTACCATCTTAACTAAAATATTAAAATTCAAAAACAAAATTACCATCCTCACTATAATAAAATACATTATTTTACTATTTATTGCTTCATTTTTATTATTTTGCTTCCTCGTGGAGGAAGCTATGTAGTCCTTTCGTTTATAAAATTTTTAAAAATGGTGAAAACAAATTTTCCTCTATATAGAAACATGTTATATGAGATCCTGATCAATTGTCCGGATGTATGTGTGTGTGTATGTGTGTGGATAGTTTTTGTGAACACGATATCTTTATTATATTATTATATTTAAGGTAATATATAATATAATCGTCTTTTTTATGTCAAGATGAATCGATTAATATATATAAAGTATAGATTTGATTGAAATTTAAAGAATTAATGAAAGAAAGTTAAAAAATCAAAAATTCTCATTTTAGCTAAAAAATGATGTGTTTATTTAAATTCATGTTTATATATGAAATAATTTTATGCCCTGCATTGAAACGAATTGGTTGGTATATATAAAGTATAGATTTGATTTAAAATTTGAGAATTAATAAAAATTGAAAAATCAAAAATTCATATTTTAGCTAAATAATTTTGTGTTTTTTTAAAATTCAAGTTGATGAATAAAATAATTGTATTCCTTGCATTAAAACGAATCGATTCGTATATATAAAGTTTATGTTACACTCAAAATTAATTACAATTTTCTTTATTTTTCAAAAAATTTAATTAATTTATAACATTTTTAACTCGAAATTTTTTAAATCAATCAATTGAATTGGACAAATTTATTGCTTCCTTCACGAGGAAGCGAATTTTTTGCTTCACACAATGAGGAAGCATAATGTTTATGAAATAAACATAAAGAACCCCCTCCTTGTTTGAGTTAAGATATAGTAAATGAACTAAAAAATACTGCGCAGCTGTACATGCCATTGAAATTGAGATCGAATAGTGCGCAACATTGAAGTTGAAGATTTCCAAAATATTTCAATGAAATATTTATGCAACGATCGCTGAAATATTTCTTATGTGCAGAAATTACCCTGGTTTTAGCAATATTCCAAGTACTTCGCATTGAAATATTTGAAATCTTTAAATGAAATATTTCAGAAATGTCATGTGCTGTGTGAAGGTCAACCAATATAAATAGTAACTACAACTAATAAATTAGCAGCAGTACAATTGGTAACCCCAACCAATCTTTTCTCTCAGTGCACTCATTAATAACTTAAGGGGGCACCTAGTCACCTCAAATCAATGCAAAAGTGCAATTTTTCGGTACACGTTTCTCAAAAACTATTTAATTTATCACTTTGGGTCGCGCTGCATTCAATTACAGATATTGTCAAGTATTCAATCAAATAGTTACAAGAATTTAGATTAACAACAAATGCTTCATTTCCTGATTTTTTATTTTTCTATAATTTCGAGTTTTATACACAAAAATTATTAATTAATAAATAAGAATAATAAATAATTATAAAAATAATAATCTATTATTATTAATTAAGATAATATATTATTAATTAAATCTATTAATATTAAACTAAATTCTTTCAATAATTAAAGAATAAACTTTAAAGGACTATCCTTTTGTCCTAAGAGGAAATCCTTTCAAATAAATATGAAAAGAATTTAAAATTATTTTTTGACAAAATATCAGACATTAGTAATTTTGCATTTGTTTTTCATTTATCTTGTCGTTATTGATAATATGAAAACTTTGATATTAGGAAAATTAAAAAAAGTATAAATAATAATAATAAATTTAACACAAATGGAGTGTAAATTTTCTAAAAATGCAAAATATTCCTGACTCAAGACTTGTGACAAAAAAACGATGATATGTAAACTCCACATTACAATAGAGGATTTATTTAAAAAATTTTAGGGGAGGGAACTCTGAAATTTCAAACTTTCGAAATTAACCCAGTGGGCAAAAAACCATAATCGTTCTAAAAACGTTTTTAGAACTAACATGGTTTTTTGCCCACTTGGAAGGCTTTTTAAGGTTGTCAATTTTTTCTTCTGTTAATATTGCATATATTTAAAACTGTAAAATTGTAAAAATTTCTGAAATATAAAAAAAGTTGTGAAATTATTAAAAATTACTTTTTTCATTTTTGATAGTAAAATATGATTTCCGGTTCTGAATTTTTTTTTAAATTGTTACTTCTAAACCAAACCAATTATGTTTGGTTTAAATTTTATCAATTATTTCTTACAAATTCAACTCCTACAATTTTTATTATTTTTTATCTGTAATTTTTTTGTAGAAAAATTCGAAGAGAGTGAAAGCTCAAGTTCGAATTTGGATGCTGAGAATATGTCAGATGAAGAGTAAAGACGTCAATAATAATTGGTATATTTTTTAAAGTTGGTTGAATGTTTTGATAAGTTAAATATCCATGACATCAATTCAATGTCTTTTAAATTCTATGTTGATTGTTTTTATTTTATACTTTCTTCTTTTTGTCCAATTCTACACAAAAACTACTATTTTTAATCGTTTCCGATATTTTTTTTAAATAATTGGTCGATATTTTTCTAGGACCTTAATTTAAATTTAAAACTTAATAATTGTTAAAAAAAATTGAAAGAGATTTTTGAAGAAATTTTTTAACTTTTAGAAAAAGTTTTTTTTTGTTTTTGAAATCGCGCAATTTGAGCTAACCTCCTTGAAAGGAAAGCGATTTTTTCAGAATTTTTAAAAACTATAATTTAATGTATGTTTACTTTTCATTTCAAAGGCATCAATGTTATGTATCTGATTATGTTTAAGTAAAATACTTTACCAAATGCAAGTGGTTAAAAGTTTTTATTACGCATACTTGTGTCTGGTGTTATTTTCGCAAAAAATTATAAGACTGGTTACAATTGTGTATGAATTTGTGTAACCTGCCCTCTCGCGTAAAAGACAACAACTCTCTCTACAAAGACAGCAGTGTTCCTTTAATTTTTTCAGTGTAATACGAAGAAATAAATTTTATTTATTTTTTTTAATGAAACTTTATCTGTAATTCTTTAGAATACTTACCACAGATACTTTTAAGGGGGGAAACTCGTGTAAAAAAAATTTACAATTTTCTTTTGCTTTAAAAATTAATTTACTATCTGTAGAATATGATCCTACATTACTAATCTATACTGCCCTACAATGGAAAAACTGCGGTCAGTGACATTTTTATCAAAAATGAGTTTTTGGTATGTATCAATGGAATCGTAATGAAAATTCGCATCTACATTGTAAAACATTGTAAAAATTAAAAATTTGATACATTTTTAATAAAAAATTAATGTTTTAGTTTGTAGAATTAGTGAAAAATGACGAATTACAGTGGAATAAATTAGGTAAGCGCTTCTGCGCTTGCTAAATATTGGAACTTCTGTAAAGTACGTCACAATATATCGAATAGAAAAGTGAGCAAAATGCTTTGCGTACTTTTCGTTTGGGAAAAGTTGTCGAAATCTTAGCTCCGTACAAATGACGAGTTTGCATGTGCTTATGCAGAGTTCTTCCATTTGTAACGAGTTGGAGTTGAACTAAGAAATACAGCGAAATAGTGCGCAAACAGCAAATAAGCACTTCGGCTGAGTTTGAGAGAGTTAGCTAAGTGTCGGTATAAACCCGGAAAATGGCGTCGATTTTCATCTTTTACGTTGACAACACAACACACAACGTTTAGTGTTACAGTAAAAATGTCAATTTCATGTCTTCTATAAATAAGTAAATAGTGATTATTAAAATATTAAACCTTTTAATTATTATTCAAAATTCATAGATTAAGACTAACAGAAATTTTACATGTCTCTCAGAAGAGGTTATGTTGTTCAAAATTCTAATAAATTATGGATAAAAATTGACATTTATATTATTATACTTTAAATTTACAAATGTAATTTATTTAAATATCATCTTTTTTAGTTCCGGAAAAAAGAGATTCTTGAATTTCAGTCATGTGGGAAGAAAATACTTGTAAGTAACTACATTTTTTAATATATACATATATACCATTCGGCTTATTATATGTGTCTCAATGGTTTCATCTTATTAAAAAGTGAGGCTAGGTGTGACGTGCCTATTCGATTTTTCTAACAATTTATCAATGTTTTTTAAAAATTATTTCTAAGATCATTTTTTTGTAAAGCCTAAGATTTGTTTGGATAAAAAATATCTTATTTAAATCAAACATAATATATATATAATATATAAATGAAATATTAATATGTATTATTCAAATGAAAAAAAAACGCTTTTAAACCAGGGACGTTCACAAAAGTAAAATTGAGTTTACTTTTGATTTAAATATTTGAAACAAAAGTAAATTTCATTCACTTTTAATTTTGATGTTAAGAACAAAACTAAAACATAAATTACTTTTATTTCGCAATACACTGATTCAAAACGAAACAAAAGTGTTTTTGAATTTAATTTTAATTTTGTAAACGTCCCAGTTTTAAACAAAAGTAGTCGATTTTTTTTCTTTATCGTAGAATGAAAATTATAACTTTAATTCAAGAAAATCACCCAAAATTTCTATT